GAAAACTAACTATTAAAATCTGGGTCTTATGATGCGAACATAAAGATTTTTTTTTTATGATTATTCCTTCTAAAATCTTGACTTTTGTTGAAGTGGAAGTGAGGGGCAAATGTTAGACCTTCTAGGTATATCTGTTGGTAGAACTTGAAAGTAAATTTGTGGTCTCTAGTAGAGTTTCTTGGCATAGTTTACTTTTCATCTTCAATTAATTTAGAACGAACTTAAAATTCTATTGTTATTTTCGGCAATGTAAATTTGGGGCATTTACATGCACGCCACCTAATTCCTGTTTGTTTACATATCTAACACCTAAAGTTTTTTAAATTTATACCACTTAAATCTTTCATATCACATCAAAAATACCACATGATACTAAAGTTAACCCAAACAACAATAGAAAAACAAATGTTATTATTGAAAAAAAATCAAATATATGATTACAACTAAACACACTCTAAAATGAGAAATAACAACAACACATCACAAACTCTCACTAGGGTTCGATTCGTGGGTGGTGGTGATCGACTAGCTGGTTCAGAAGTAGTGGTAGGTGGTTGGAATGGAGTGGATGAGGAGCGACAATGAGTAAGGGCCGTTGGAAAGGCTGTGTATGGCCGAAAAGAACAAGGGGGAGGGCTGGATAGCAGGTCGGGCAGTGGTAGATGGGGCTAAGGACTGCTGGAGGGCTTGTGGATTGTTGGAAATAACAGGGGGGTGTTGGAAAGCTGATGAACAACGACAAAGGGTAGTAAGAATGGCTAGGAGGGATGTGGATCATAGGAAAAGAACGGGGGAGGATTGAACAACAGTTAAGTAGCAGAAGAGGGTGGTAAAGGCGGTTGGGAAAACTGCATCAGTAAGGGAGGCATGTTCGAGAAGGTGGCAGCAAGTGAAACTTCAAAAAACAGTACGACAGGGCTGTTTGGCAGCTGCAGCGGGGAGGAGGGATGGTGGCAGCGGAGGGAAGGATGCGGTGGAAGAGGAAGTCAAGGATTATCACCATCTTGGAATAAGATATAACTGGAGCACCACTCGCCCTTGGATACAACTCTAGAAAGGAAAACTAAGAAATGTCGATGGGTGTCCCGACATAAAACTTACAGAAACTCCAATTCAAACCCTAATAGAGCACATATATGAAAAAAAGAATATAAAGAAATGAAAGGAAAAAAGAAAGTTTGCTAAAGAGATAAAGAAGAAGAAGAATAATAAGAAGCCTTTATCCCATTAAGTGGGGTCGGTTACATGAATCCTTTTTTTCCATTGCGTCTTATTGAGAGTCTTATTTTTATTCAATTATAATAGATTAAGATCTTTTTTTATACATTTGGCCCATATCTTTTTAGGTCTACCTCTACCTTTCTTAACATAAGTTGAATTTAAAACATCTAATCTCCTTACCGAATCATCAGATTGTTCACGTTTAATGTTAATGTTACCAAATCATCTGAGGTGACTCTCTCTTATCTTGTCCGCCATTGTTGCTGCACCAACCAAACATATTCATTTCATTTATTGTCTCTAAGTGTGAAACAACTCATCCACATAAGTATTCTGTTCTCAACAACTCTTAACATTGTTTTATGCTTCTCTTTTAAAGGCCAAGATTATGTGTCATAGAGCATTGCAGGTCTCACCACCATCTTATAAATTTTCCTTTGGTACTTACTCTATCACACAGTATACCCGATGCATTCCTCCACTTCAACCAACCAACTTAAATTCTACTAATAACATCCCCATTTATATCACCATCACTTCAAACAATTGAAACGTTCACACCTTTTACTGATTTGATCACCCATAGTTACAACTCTGTCACCAATGCTACTGCTACTAAAATTACATTCCATGTAATTAGTTTTAGATATACTCAAACGAAAGGCTTTAGACTCCAGTGTAAACCTCCATAATTTAAGTTTCTCTTGAACTCTTTCTCTAGCTTATCCATAAAAAGGATATCATCAGCGAAAAACATACACCAAGGTACATCCTCCTGTACATGTCTAGTAAGAGCATCCATAACTAAAACAAAAAGATGTGGGCTTAATACCGATCCCTGATGTAATCCAATTGAAATAGGAAAATACTTGGCCAATCCCTCTTCTGTTCGAACACAAGTAACAACCCTAGTATATATCTTTAATGACCTGAATATAAGTCATATCAACACTATTTTTCTTTAGAAACATCCAAAGGACTTCTTTTGAAACCTTATCGTAAGTTTTTTCTAAATCAATAAAATTCATATGTAGATCTTCCTCACTTTCTTTGCACATCTCCATCAAATCTCTTAATAAATGTATATCTTCCATATTAGATCTACTTGACTTAAATCTAAACTGATTCTGAGAAATCTTTGTATACATCATAACCTATGTTCAATTAACTTCTCCAATATTTTTAAATATGACGCATCAACTTATTTTCTCAATAATTTGCACTCTTGTGCATCTCCTTTACTCTTAAAGATGATACCAAAATACTCTTCATCCACTCCCCATGCATCTATTTAGTTTTTAAAATATAGTTTTTAAAATATCTATTTAGTTTTTAAAATATTATTAAAGAGTTTAGTAAGCTAAGAAACTCCTAAATCTCCTAAATATTTACACACTTTAATTGGAATATCATCAAGTCCTATTGATTTTTCACAATTTGTTTTCTTTAAAGCCTCCTCAACTTTTTTTTTTACAAATGCATTTTACTAATACGGCGATAAAAATAAAACGTTTTATTATTATTAACAATTTTAAGATCACTAAGATCGATCGTATTTTCTGAAACTTTATTGAAAAATTTATTAAAATAGCTCACACTCCTATGTTGAATATCTTCATCTAAGAAAAACATTTTTTAATTTTCATCTTTAATACATTTTACTTGAATTAAATATTTACTTTTTTTTCTTTTTGATTGACTAGTTTATAAATTTAATTTTCACTCTATTTCGTATCTAATGTATTATAAATATCGTTAAAAACAGAATTTTTAACGTCACAAGTTGTTTTCTTAGACTTTCTACGATTGTTTTTATATTTTTTATGGTTTTTTATGTTTTTACATTTAGACCGATTTTTATAACACTTCTTCTTATATTTTATCTTTTCTTGCACATTATTATTTTATAGCCGATTATTTTATTTATAAATATTTTTCTTTTTGATTCTTCAAATACATCTTTTGCCACCTGTTTAATTGTATTTGTTACTTTATCCCATATAGAATTAACTTCTTTATGAAAATTTTAAATCTTGAAATCTTGAAACATTGAAGTATACTCATAAAATTTTTTTTATTTGTTTTTTAGATTTTTCCATCTAATTCCATGATAATATTTTATTATATTCTTTATCTTACAACTAATCTTAAAATCCAACACTACTAATTGACGTTAGGTACTTAAATTTTCACGTGGAATGACTTTTATCTTTATATTCTTGACGATATATTTTTTTATAGGAAAATAATCAATTTGTGTGTTATTAAAACCATTCTTATAAGTAATAATATGCTCATATTTTTTTTAAATAAAGTATTAGTAATAACAGAATCTTATGCTAAAACAAAATCTAATATGGTTCTACCAACTTCATTAATTACTTCAAAACCGTAGCCATCATGGATATTTCTAAAATATTCTTCCACTCTACCAACATATTCATTTAAATCTCTTCCAATAAAATTTTTTTCTTCAAGATGTATCATTTGTATTGGTTTTTCTAAGTCATTTAGATTTTTTTTTTGATTAAACCCGCTTCTAAACACACTTGAAGAACATAAAAACTTATAACATTAAAAATCTCAGTATCAACAACAATCTTTAGGGCTATATTCTATCTCTAATTTTATTAATTTTTAAAACATTATTTTTCAAACTCTCACTATAATTACATCAACACCATTTCTAGTGTGACTCCTATTTGAATATCAAAGTTTAAAACCTCAGCTATCAATCTTCTTAGCTTTTTCTCCAACTCATTTAATTTTTTTAAATAGATATAATGTTTATCTTTCATTAAATTATTTGTGAGAGTACCTATATTTCAAGATCATATCCTAATATTAATTTTATGGACTAACTTATTTGTCTGTATCTATCCATGATGTGAGAATCCTTACTTATTTTACACTACACCTAGGCGTGTAGTGATTTTTTCACACTTTTTACTGTATTCAAACCATACAACACATCACTTCCAGGAAACGTTCTAGTATTTACATAAGAATTTAAATGATTCATGCCATGATTTTTCGACAAGAATTTTGTGATGGCTAAAGAAATAAAGGAAAGAAAATAAAATATGGATCGTGTTCGGTCTGACTCCTGCGATCATTAATCCCACAAGCAGTTGGGTGATTGTTGCAGAAATCACAGCATTGTAGGAGAAATCATGAAAAGCGCTTTCATGATAGTGCGTCCGTGTGGGAAGCTCCCGCTTCACCACCATTTGAATTTTTAAAGAGTGACATACAGCTTTCATGCTTAACAGTATAAGAAAGGTGGTATGTATGTTAAATTGAAGTTTAGGTGTTAAATACAAATTGAGTGATATGTATATATATCTTCCTGTAAATTTCGTTGTGTTTATTTGTTGTACGCGTTATCACATTCTTGGGCTTGGATTTTCAGGATATGGTTCAAATTATAATCATGCCGTTTAACTTTTTAATATTCCTAATGGTTTGTAATTATGCTCTCCTCCCTTCTATTATTTGCTCGAACGTAAGAATTATCTAAATTTTATTCTTATGCTGTGTGCAGTGCAAAGCAAAGAAATCCTTGTGGTTATATATATAACATAGGAAGATTTACATACATACCACACAATTCTTAGTATCACATATGTAACACCTAAACTTTAATTTTTCCATATGCCTTCTTACATATGCAATAAATATGTATTTCACTTTTTAAAAGTTAAAATAGTGGTACTTAATGAAAATTTCATCAGCTAAAATGCATCAAATTCTTAATAGATTTCTCCAAATTTTTCTAGGCTGATCGAAGTCTGCGACAAAATGAGAGTATACTATTGGAGCGTTTGAGAATTGATAGTAAGAAAATTATTCTCTTTTGATAAATTTCATCTCTTGTCCGATGTATATTTTTTATTTTTCTTTTATGGTCGCTACACTTGGCACACCTTTTTCTTTTCATGCATTGGATTTGATCTAAAATTGATCTTGTATTTGCATATTATTGTAAGTTCTCCTAACTGTACCGTCGCGCATATAAAGTGTGAAAGTTACTTTTGTAATTTCATGTACATGTAAGGATGGCAGAGAAGAAAAAACGTTGGGCGTGCACTCTTCTGATAGTATGAGTGAGTGTGAAACATTTAAAAAAATGGATGATTTACATACATGCCACTTAATTCCCTTGTATTTACATATTTAACATCAAAACTTCAATTTTCCCTTACCTATGAATAGAGAAGGTGTATTTCACTTTTTAAAAGTAAAAGAAAAAGTGGTATTTTTATGTGACGTGAAAGATTTAAACTTTATAAATATAAAAAATTAAAGTTTATGTGTTAGATAAGTAAATACATAGGTATTTGGTTATATGCATGTAAACACCCCTTAAAAGTAGAAATATACATGCATACCACACAATTCTTATGTATTCACATATCTAATACCCAAAGTTTAATATTTACATTGATAAACACCTTGGTGTTATAAACCTAGGCATTAAAAGTGTATTGCACTTTTAAAAGGCAGCGATGGTGATTTTTGACGTGATGTTGAAGATTTGTGTGGTATACATGTAAATATGAATGTTTAAGTGTTGGATATGTAAATACATAAGAATTGTGTGGTATGAATGTAAATGCCCCCTAAAGAAATAAGTTGAACAAGCAAGTCCTTTTTTTGGAATTTAATTCCTTGATGATGGGAGATACTTAGTTCTAGGAGACTTTACCATTTTATAAGTGAAAACCTTGCTTTTATGATGACTTCTTTTCCTTTTTATTTCTATTCCTCTTAGTGATTATGTTATACTTCTTATCATATCATCTAAGTGAATTCATGCTTCATATATCTGTCAAGCATGGAGCATCAATTTTTACGCTCATTCATTTTCTTAAAATTTTTAGCAGATTGGAGCGGAAAAATTTACTTCTGTCAAGGAAAAAATGCATTCTACTTTTACGGAGGATTTACATACATTCCACTCAATTCTTATGTATTTATATATAGAACACCTAAACTTCAATTTTTACATATATGTCACCTTAGCTCTGCAAGGTGTATTTCACTTTTTAAATGGTAAAATAGTGATATTTTTCATGTGATATGAAAGATTTGGATGATATTAATGTAAAAAAGTAAAATCTGGGTGTTAGATGTGTAAATACATAGGAATTTAATTGTATGTATGTAAATGCCCCCACTTTTTATCTTCAGTGATTAAGATTTGATGTTGTAAATTGTAGGTTTCTTGCATTACAAAGTCAAATTTGCTCTTTTCAATTATTATTAGCTTAATATTTCATCCATATGACTTTTGGAAGATCATAGAAGTGTGTACTTGATAAAAATAAAAATCTTTTTCTTTAATACATTTTTAAATCATTTTTAAAACTATAATCACAATAAACCATGATTACTCTCGCAATAGGCCATTGGGGGTTTGAAATATAGTTTTATAAGGTCTTAGACTAGGTAAAATGCCAATTTAGCTCCTAAACTATTTAAGGACTAATATAGGCTCGAGATTCTTAAAATGAGGAGTAAAAGAGTCATGTCTTGGGATTAGTTTAGTTCCTATTTAAATAATCGGGGGTGGGCTGTAAACTAGTCAAGTCGAGGTCAAGCTACTCTCAACTTGAGCTTGATTTATTTATCAAGTTTGAGCTAGAGCTTAATTCTACGAGCCTGAGTTGGCTCACTAATTGACTTATTTATTATGAAAGAGAGAATACAATATTAATTAAAGTTGGTGTTAAAGTAAAATGACAAATAGAATGAGTAAGTAGGAAATAAATAATAAAAAAATAAATAATATAAAATAAATATCATTTTATGCATTTTTTAATCATTTAAATATGAAGTCTTGAATTTTAATATATTTTGAGTATATTGAATGTTAATATTTTCTTAAATGACTTGGCTCATGAGCTAACAAGCCGAGTCAAAGCTGGTTTGAGTTTAGCCTGTTACCTCATCGAGCTTAGCTCACGGGCCACTTATCGAGCCGAGCTTGAGCCTGCTCACGAGGTAGCTTGGCTTTGTTACAACGCTAATATGGGGACTAAAGTAGCCTTTTATATAGTCTAGGACTTTAGGGCCAATTTGGCACCCTTTAAATAATCGAGGGACTATTTTGACCCTTTTATATAATTTGCATTGCTTAAATTAAATGATTCATGTCATAATTTTTTTGACAAGTTTCTAAGCAACCCACCACTTTACACATCCGGGCTTGAGTGATGACAGTGTTTAGCTATAGAGTTTTAGGATGAAGAGTTGTAAAGTAAAGAATACTAGGAATCATCGTCATAGAATTAGATGGAGGTACCTAAAAGACGCAAATAAAATTATTTTTATAAGTGAAATTCAAAATTTCAAAATTCGGGATGTTCACGAAGAAGCAAATTCTATGTGGGATAAAGTAACAAATACTATTAAACAAGTGATAAAAGTTGTATTTGAAGAATCAAATGAAAAAAAAACATATAAATAAAAATAGTTTGTGGTGAAATAATAATGTGCAAAAATAATGTGCAAGAAAAGATAAAATATAAGAAGTTATGTTATAAAAATGATTTAAATGTAAAAACTTAGAAAACTGAGAAAAATATCAAACGACCCGTAGGGATTCTAAGAGAACAATCTGTGATGCTAAAAATTATACTTTTAGTGATCTTTATAATAGAATAGATACTAAGGAAGGTGAAAAAAAATATGTATAAACTAGTCAAACAAAGAGAAAAGAAAAGGAAAGGTAAAGTGTATTAAAGATGAAAATAAAAAAGTGCTTTTCATAGAAAAAAATATTAAAAATAGGTGGGTTAGTTATTTTGATAAATTTTTTAATATAGTTTCGGAAAATATGATCGACCTTAGTGATCTTAATATCGTTAATAATAATAAAATGTTTTATTTTTACCATTCCATTAGTAAAAAAGAAGTTGAGGAGGTTTAAAAAAAAACCAAGGGTGTGGAAAGTCTGTAGGACCCGATGATATCCCAATTGAAGTGTGAAAATATTTAGGAGATTTGAGAGTTTCTTGGCTTACTAAACTTTTTAATATTATTTTAAAAATTGAAAAGATGCCTGAGGAGTGGAGGAAGAATATTTTGGTCCTCATTTTTTAAGAATAAAAAGGATGCACAATAGTGTACAAATTATAGAGGAATTATGTTGGTGTATCATACTTCAAAATTATGGGAGAAGGTAATTGAACATAAGTTAAGATATATTACAAAGATTTCTCATAATCAATTTTGATTTATGTCGGATAGGTCTATTATGGAAGCTATACATTTATTGAGAGGTTTGATGGAGAAATTCATAGATAATGAGAAGGATCTACACTTGTTTTTATTGATTTAAAAAAAACTTATGATAATGTTTCAATAGATATCCTTTGGAGAGTTCTTGAGAAGAAAGGTGTTGATATGACTTACATTCAACTCATTAAAGATATGTATGCAAGAGTTGTTACTTGTGTTCGAACTGGAGGATTGACCAAATATTTTCCTATTTCTGTTGTTTTACATTAGGGATCGACTTTAAGCCCATATCTTTTTGCTTTAGTTATGGATGGTCTTATTGGACACTTACAGGAGAATGCATCTTGGTGTATGTTTTTGGTTGATGATATCCTTCTCGTGGATAAGACGAGAGAAAAAAACTTAGGAAAAACTTGTATTATGGAGGTCTACCTCGAAGTCTAAAGGCCTTCGTTTGAGTAGGACTAAACCTGAATACATGAAATGCAATTTTAGTAGTTGTAGCTCTAGTAACAAAAATGTAACTATGGGTGATCAAATTATTAAAAGGCGTGAACGCTTTAGATATCTCGAATCTATTGTACACAGTGATGTTGATATTGATGTGGATGTTATTAGTAGAATTCAAGTTGGTTGGTTGAATTGGAGGCATGCTTTGGGCCTATTCTGTGTTAGAAAAGTACCGCTTAGACTGAAAGTAAAATTTCATAAGAGACCTGCACTGTTCTATGGCTTTGAATGTTGGCCTTTAAAAGAGAAGTATAAAACTAAGTTAAGTGTTGTTGAGAGGAGAATGATTGGTTGGTTGAACCGGAGGCATTCTTTGGGCCTATTGTGTTTTAGAAAAGTACCGCTTAGACTGAAAGAAAAACTTCAAAAGAGACCCACAATGCTCTATGGTTTTGAATGCAATGCTCTATGGTCTCTATGGTTTTGAATGTTGGCCTTTAAAAGAGAAGCATAAAACTAAGTTAAGTGTTGTTGAAATGAGAATGATTAGGTGGATGAGTGGCTTTACACTTGGAGACAAAATGCGAAATGAATATGTCCGTTGTAGGATTGGATTAGCTCCAGTGGCAGACAAGATTAGAGAGAGTCGTGTTAGATGGTTTGGTCACATTAAACGTCAATAATCTAATGATCCGGTTCGGAGAGTAGATGTTTTAGATTCGACTTTTGTTAAGAAAGGTAGAGGTAGACCTGAAAAGGCTTGGATAAATTGTATAAAAAAAATGATCTTAATCTATTAAAATTGAATCAAAATATGACTCTCAATAAGACCCAATGGAGAAAAAGGATTCATGTAGCCGACCCCACTTAGTGGGATTTTGTTGTTTTTGTTGCAGTGCTGAAGATTCATGTTAAAGAAGCCATTTGTTTTTGAATTTTTTACCTCTGAAAACTCGTATATTGCTATCCATATGATATATATTTTTTCAGTAATGTTTCTGTAACAACTTTTTTTTTTATTACCAGTTGAGGATTTGAACTTGCATGCAGTAGAATCTTTGAATGGTCATCCATACCTAGCAGTCGGAAAACATCTATGCGGTAATGCAACAGGTGATTATTTCACGTGCCCTCAAAATAAACTAATTCTAGTTTTCTTTTGGACATTTCTTATTTTCAAGATTTACATACATACCACTAACTTCTCATGTATTTACATATCTAAAACCTAAAATTCAATTTTACATATATGCCACCTGACTTAGGCACAAAAATGTGTATTTCACTTTTTAAAAGTTAAAATGGTGCTTTTTTTGATGTGATATGAAGGATTTGGGTGATATTAATGTAAAAAGTAACGTTTAGGTGTCAGGTAAATACGTAAATGCTTCTTCTTATTTTTATACACTTGGAGTTTTTGGAACAGCTGAAATGTTTTATTTTTTGCAGATTTGACGATTAGTTGTTGTTGTTGTTCTCCGGAAACCAATCTCAGCAGTATAGCTTTTTCGAGTTGCTGTCGTCTTCAAGGCATCGCTCTGGCAACATGTTGCCACCATCTTTGCCAGTGGAAGCATTACTCAAGTACTACCCTATATTTTTGTTTTTTGTTTTCTATTTTATTTTATTTTATTTATGTTTTGATTTGAAACAAAATATATTCGACTTATTTGACTAAAATATTTTTGTTTTTGAAAACAGTCAAAATATCTAAAAATTAATTTGAGTTTTTTCAAACATATGTTAATTTATTTTTAGAAAAAAAAAATAAAAAATACACTAAACAAACATTTTTTTATTAAAAAAATAAAAATAATGATAAAAACAAAATGCAAAATTGATCCTGAACAGGCCCCAAGCATTATTGAGTTCAATTTTCACTTTTCTATCTTTAAACCGTGGCATTTTATGGTTATATTTGTCATATCTGATTATTTAACATGTAATTTTTTTTTTCTTCGTGATTTTTTTTAAATTGTTTCAATGAATGTTCATTCATTTTTTTTTCCAACGAGTGTTCATTCATTGGTTTGGCTAAGTGAAAATGTTTAGGTTCATCAGCAGTCTCGTTGCACAATTTTGGTTAACTCTCTACAGTTGTGAGCAATAGCATTCTAGTTCTGCGAAATTTACATGTATACCAACAATTTTTATGTATTTACACATCTAACTTCCCAAATTTAATATTTACATTTATAACATCTTGGTGTTATAAACCTATTACATGAAAATGTGTAGTTCATTTTTTGAAAAGATAGAGATGGTGGTATTTTTGAAGTGATTTTAATGATTTGAGTGTTATGCTTGTAAATTTGAATGTTTAGGTGCTAGATATGTAAATACATAAGAATTGTGTGGTATGTATGGATGGTCTGCTTTGCTTTCGTTTTTTCTAACCATTATCTTTCAATTAAAACTCTGATTTGGTGTTGTAGTTGAGACATTTGTAAAATCAAATTAAATTGGAACATTTTTTAAATATTTTTTTTCAAGTAGTGAGTTATGTTTTCGTCCTCAATTGTGAATCTGCTAGTCAATTTTTGTTGATTAGCATATATTCTTGTTGCGTGCTGGAAAGTTCAAGATGGTAGGGTGCCAATTTAACGTCTTAGTGTTGGATGAAGATCTAACACACACACAAATAAAAGAGAAGTGGTATGAGATGACACTAAAATTTTTTACATGAAAAAATTATAGAAAAGTAGAAAAACAGGGGGCCTAGTCCACCCAAAATAATCTACTATATAATTGTAAGTATATAGTTCCACCATTCGCTTGAATTAAAGAAGATCAAATTACAAAGCTGAATATCACTGATGTACAATAGTAATTTAATTATAATAGTCATAATTTGGATACAATAAATATAGTTCTTGGTTGATGATTATAACAATAGTTGACCACAAAGTCTTAGGTGTTGAATGTAATAGTAATAATTAGTCACATTGGTCATAGTCGAAGACTTTAATAGCAGAAGTTAGTTACAATAGTCATAGTTGAAAACTATAATAAGAGTAGTTGACCATAATAACCGTAGTTGGTTGCTACAAAGACAGAAGTTGTTCGTAAAGACTATAGTCTGTGGTTGCAATAACCACAAAAGCTATAGTTGAAAACTATAACAATAGTTGTTGATCATAAAAGCCGTAGTTGATTGCTACAAAAGCAGTAGTTCTTAGTAAAAACTTTAGTCAGTGACTGCAGTAGCGATAGTCATAGAAGCATGTTGTGAAAAAAACAAGGATAATAAAGCGAAAATTGGAACGAGAAATTCACAGAAAAAAAGAATCACAAAGGAACACAAATTTACGTGGTTCTACAAATTGCCTACGTCCATGGAGTTGCAGAGAAATTTTATTAGTTTTGAGGATTACATTCGTCGATCACCTCGACGATTATAAGAAAGATTCTCTTTCTCTCTTCTATCTCTCTCCTTCCCCTTTTCTCTCTCTCTCTACCTGAGAGCAACCATCGAAGAAAACTGGGAAAACCGAGCCTTGCAATTGCTTCCTTCTCCTTCGCCTGTTGCCGAAGCCAATAACTCCGGAAGAGCAGCATGAGATTCCTTCTCACATAAAGCCAACGCCAAGAGCAGCCAAATAACATTAAATGGTACTTCTTTTTGGCCCATAAAAGGAAAGCCTGAAACGGTTCTTCTTCTGCCCAAGAGAAGAAGCGTGACCAGTTACTGGGAGAAGCGGGAACTTAATTTGGAACTTAACTAATTCACAACGATTAATTAAGGAAGCAAATAACAGGAAATTAATTCATCTAGATAATTTCCTTAGATGCAGAATACCACCCAATTTGGATGTAGTGAACCGGGCTCTATATCTCAACAAAGCCGCAGTTGGAAATTTATAACTTTAATAGTTGGTCATAATATTCGGTTGCTGTAAAGACAGTAATTGGCCTTAAAGGCTGTAAACGGTGGTTGCAATAGCCAAAGTTGGCTACAGGGGTCGTAGATGAAAATTGTAACAGTAGTATTTGACTACAAAAGTCATAGTTTGTTACTAGAAGACAATAGTTGGCCATAATGATTGTAATTCGTGACTGCAATAGTGGTAATTGACCACAGAAGGTCGTAATTGGAAATTGTAATAGTAGTAGTTGGCCACAAATACCATATTTTGGCTGTAGTTAGTCGTAAACGCTGTAATAGATGGATGTAACAAAGGTCATAGTTAGAAATTATAACAATATTAGTTGGTCATAAATGTTGTAGTTGATTTCTACAAAGACAACAGTTGGCAATAATGATGTTGTGAGTAACTGCAATTGCGACAATTGGTCACAGAGACTGTAATTAGATACTATAACAATAGTTGTTGGTGACAAAGGTTGTTGTTAAGCTGCTATAAAGACAATAGTTGGTCGTAAAGGCTGTAATTGTTGGCTGCAATAGCGATAATTGGTTGTAGAGGCCATCGTTGGAAACTGTACCAATAGTTGTTAGCCACAGAAGCCATCGTTGGTTTCTACAAAGGCAAGAGTTGGTCATAAATGTTGTAGTCGGTGCTACAAATAGAGGTCGTATTTATAAATTGTAACAATTGTAATTGGCCACAAAACTTGTAGTTTAACTATAATGGTTGCAAGCAGTGATTGTCGACTACTGGTGGTCGACGAAAATAGGTGGAGACGATGGGTGACAGTCGACGGTGACCGACGGGCGGCGGTTGATGGTGCCGACGGGCGGCGGTTGATGGTGCCGACGGGCGGCAGTTGATGGTGGTCAGTAGCTATAGAGGTTGATGGTGGTCGGTAGCTATAGAGGCTGATGGTTTGTCCCCATATCTTCTTCAGAGCAAGTTTTGAAATTTTACTTCTCTTTTTTCTTCTTCCCCTCCCCAGCAAAGAGACGAGACCTATTTTTTAGCATTTTGGGGAGAGACATTTTGGGCTTTTGGTGATAATTTTTAAATATTTGAGTGACTTAATGACCTCAAAATTGAATTATCTTAGGATCTCTGGATTCCTTTCGTTATGACGCTCGATTCAACCATAAATATGTCAAATTTGGAGTTCATTTGATCATTCAATTGACAATCCAGAGCCTCCAATTATGCTTTAACGACTTGGTCTGACATTGATTGTACTCGAATTGAACCAACTTTGACATCATTTGGTTTGTCTTGTCCTGAGAACTAGTTTTACTATAAATTTTTAAAATCGGGGCTCAGATGATCTTGAATTTGAATTTGAAATTGAAAGATCCCTTATCAAAAATGCATCGAGATTCACATTTTATTAAAAATTGTTGAGGACACATCAATTCTAATCATTTTTTCTATCTTGTTAAAAACTCCAAATTCATTTGCCTTAAATTTCTATTTTTTTATTGTGAACAGAATTCACCATTTTTGGGGGCATTTGCATACATACCACCTAATTCCTATGTGTTACATATCTAACACCTAGACTTTACTTTTTTTAAATACATATCACTCAAATCTTTCATATCATATAAAAAATACCACCATTTTAACTTTTAAAAAGTGAAATACACATTTTCATGAATAAGTTATGTGGCGTAGATGTTGAAATTAAAGTTTAGGTGTTAGATATGTAAATACATAGGAATTAAGTTGTATGTAAGTAAATCTTCTCTTTTTTTCTTATTTTTTGGCGCTGGAACCAGATTACTGTCGCCATGACATAAAAGATTTGCTCAGATATACAGCTAAATTGTTCACGCTAATATGGCAGATTAATCTTTCTGATTCCCTTCCCCTTTATTGGGGCATTTACATACAGACCACCCAATTCCTATGTATTGACATATCTAACACCTAAACTTTATTTTTTTTACATTTATACAACCCAAGTCATTTTAGTGGGATTAAGGCTTTGTTGTTATTGTTGTTGTTTACAATCCAAATCATTTATATCATATAAAAAATACTACCATTATAACCTTTATAAATGCAAAATACACCTTTTTATGCATTGGTGAGGTGATATGTACCTAAAAATTGAAGTTTGGGTGTTTGATATGTAAATACATAGGAATTGAGTGGTATGTATGAATCTTCCTTTCTTTTTTAACCTTTCGCTGTTAGAACCAGATTGCTGTTGCCAGAATATAATGTATTTGCCTGGATATACATCTATATCGTTCATACTAATATGGCAGATTAATTTTTCTGATTTGCCTTTACAAATAAAAGGTTTTTCTTTTTCATGGCATTTACATACCTAACTTTTTTTTTTTTACATTTATACTACCAAAATCTTTCATATCATATCAAAATACCACCCTTTTAACTATTAAAAGTAAAACACACTTTTTTATCCATAGGTGAGGTGACATGCATAAATTTACCTGTTAAATATGTAAATACATAGGAATTGAGTGATATGTATGTAAAAATCATCTTTTTTTTCATCTTTTGTTATCACTTTGAAAATGATGGAGTGGTAATTATGGGTGATCAAATCATTAAAATATGTGAACATCTTAGATATCTCGGCTCTATTGTTCAAAGTGACGGTGATATAGATTGGGATGCTATTAGTAGAATTCAAGTTGGTTAGTTGAAGTAGAGGAATGCATCGTGCCTATTGTGTGATAGAAATCACCGCTTAAACTTATAAGAAAATTTTATAAGATGGTGGTGTGACTTGCAATACTTTATGGTGCAACATGTTGGCCTTTAACAGAGAAGCATAAAACTAAGTTAAGTGTTGCTGAGATGAGAATGTTTAGGTGGATGAGAGGCTTGACACTTAGAAAAAAAATGCGAAACAAATCTATCCGTGAAAGGGTTGGTGTAGCTCCGTGTAGCTCCAGTGTCCAGTGGCAGAAAAGATTAGAGAGAGTTGTCTTAGATGGTTTGGTCACATTAAATGTCGACCATCTGATGATCCAATAGAGTAGATGTCTTAGATTCAAATTCTGTTAAGAAAGGTAGAGGTAGACTAAAAAGGCCAGGATGTATTGTATAAAAAATGATATTAATTTATTAGAATTAAATGAAATTATGACACTCATTAGGACTGTATGGAGAAATAGGATTCAGGTAGCCAACCGCACTTAGTGGGATAAAGACTTCTTCTTCTTGTTGTTGTTGTTAGAGCCAAATTACAGTTTCCAGAACATAATAGATTTGCTCCGATATACACAGTATATCTTTCATATTAAATATGTCAGTTTAATCTTTCTGATTTTTACTTTACAGATAAAAGGTTTTTTTTGGATCATGGACTAACCAAGCAGGATTTTTACGCCGTTACATGCAGCAGCTGGGCAGTAGATGCGGATCACAGTACTGATCTCTCTGATCTGTCAGAAAGCAGCATAGAGATAAATGGCAGGTAATTTCAATTACATTTCCGCATATAAACAAATGAAGGTTAAATTGTGAAAGCTTAGGGACCGTTTGGGATCTTTTTATTTTTTATTTTTATTTTGTTTTGTTTATGTTTTAATTTGAACAAAATATATTTGACATTCATATATTGCATTCCAATTTTAAATTCATTTTCACATATAAACATGTTTGATTAAGTTGCAGTTGTGTTTAGAACATTTAAAATTTGTTTGAAGTGTTTTGAAAAACATCTTAATTTGTTTTTGTAAACAAAGAATAAAAGTTATGCCAAAATTACACTTAACAAACATGTTAAAAAAACATAAAACCAAGACAAAAACAAAACGGCCATTTACATACATACCAAACAATTTTCGTGGATTTACGTATGTCTAACACTTAAACTTTCATATTTACATGCATACCTCTAACTTTTTACATGACATTAAAAATATCATCATCGGTTTGTCAATATCTTTTTAACAGTGAAATGAAACTTTTCTTGTATAGGTTTATGACACCAAATTGTTTTAAGTATAAATATTTTTAACTTTGGGTGTTAGATATGGAAATATATAAAAAAATCGTGGTATGTATGTATATTCCCTCCACACAACCCCCACCCCCCCAACCACCACAAAATAAAAATAAATACTATTCTCTACATGTTAACACATATTTAGTTGCGGTATGACTATAGGGCTGTAAATGAGCCGAGCTCGGGCGAGCTTAGGATTGGCTCATGTTCGACTCATTTGGAATTGACTCTTGTTAGAGATTGTTCATGAACAGTGTGTTCGTGTTTGACTCGATTTACATATTCTTGTTCTTGTTCGGCTTGAAATTGACTCATTTAAATTAACTAAAAAAAAAGATGTAAGGTGAATTCAAACCCGTACCAAGTATGTGCAATAAAAGGCGCATAACCTGATGACCACATGGGTTGTTTTGATATAAACTTAGATATAAATATATAATATATTATTATATAAATAATATATATAATTTCTTTATTTCGAGTTAAAATAAGCTGAACACGGTCGAACAAAGGTTTGTTCATGTTCAACTCGTTTATAATTCGAGCTTATAAAAATTATTTGTGTTTGGCTCGTTTACTTAATGAACGATTCGAACACGGGCTATTAAATGAGTCGAATACGGGCTGTTCGTGCTTTTTTGACAGCCCTAGTTACGACCGTAGCAGCAAGATTGTTTTGGAGGGGGGCTAGAAGAGGGGGAGAGGATCCCTGGAGTTTTAAGAATTTTGCTATATTTTTCACTGTCACGGACTTGTTTTTCTACGCGGCTTTATATTTGCATCAAAGAAATTTGATTTTCCCTAGACCTTGAATCATAGCAAGGGGACGCCACCTTATATTTGTAGCGCTGGTAACATAATAAGAAGTGGAAGAGGAAGAGTGAGAAATCTCAGCGCCTCTTATTCCAGGTGAGCTTCAGTAGGATTCTCCTGTAACGCAAGAGAAAGGAGAACAGAGAAGCGGTAGCAACTAGGGAAGAATTGAAGCTCAGCAACTATTCCATTAATCAAGTAAATATAATTATATATATATCTATTACATATGTAATGCGGAATATATAAAATGGAATATAGATGCCCAACACATATTCTAGAGAAGTGGAGAATCATGTTGTAACCAAATGAAGCAGGCCGAGTGGTTCTGGAGTTGGAAAATCATCGTTGACAAGGTGGAGAGCAAGGCAGTAGGTAGTTGTTAGAGAGAGGAACCCATTCCATCACTTAGCATCCAAATTCACATAATATGTTAAAAAAAATCAAACAAAATCACATTTTGCATAAATAATTGGGTCATTTCTTGCATACCTTCCAAATTCTCTGCATTTGCATATCTAACTGCAAAATTTTATTTTTTACAATTGTACCACCCAAATCGCTCATTTCACATAAAAAAATATCACCATTTTAACTTTTAAAAAGTGAAATACACCTTTTCAACTTTTAAAAAACTTTTAAAAAGTGAAATACACCTTTTCATGCAATATATAAGGTGGGTATGCATGTAAAAATTGAAATTTAGATGTTAAGTATATAAATACATAAGAATTGCTTGCATTCATGTAAACTTTCCAAATAACTTCAAGAAACTTGTTTTCCAATGTGATGCAACCCATCCCATCAGTTAACATTCAAATTAACAAAATATGTTAAAAAAACCCAACCGAAATCACATTTTGCATATATAATTTCATTAAACTTGTCTTCCTCTTCTCATACTCTTGTATTTTGATTTCCTTGTGCAATCAGTGAAGTGAATGAAGCCAAAAAACACTTTGGTCCTGTTGAATTTTTCATGGGCGACAGAAGCGTTGAAGAAATCATCAGAAACATGAAATCTGTGGATAGAGCTGCTTTTGGCTTAAAATGCAAAAATATTATCGATATGGGGAGGGTTTTCTGGCTTAGAGAACAAGGATTGGATGCAGAGCTGGTGAAGTACGTTCCTTCAAGAATTTCTCCTGAGAATCATTTGTTGATAGCCAAATTTTGCTAGTCTTAGAACTGATTATCTATGTTGTCTTTGGGTTCAAAAGAACAATCTTTCTCTGAAATGAAATATCAATTTGTTTTTAATTATATGCTTTTAATATCTATATGGTTTGTTGATGTATACATGCTTTGTTTTCTTGTGTTGAGGTGGTCTACTTATTTGTGCTCAAAGCTATGCGAGATCACATATAGCATAAATCTTATTATATCTTCATTACCATCTTAGTGTTATCTATCTGAAAGTTTCTCTCTCTCTATCTCTCTATGTGTGTGTGTGCGCGCACGCGTGTGTGGAAGAAAAATTACACGGTGACAAAGCAGAGTAGGTGCAGATAGGTGTGGATTTGGTGGTATTTTGAACGCCGCAATACCATCAATCTGCACATAATATTTTTTCGCGTGTGTTTAAAAATTTGAGTTTATATAACTCTTAAATACTTGAAATATGCTCCTATTTCACATGCGGGGAGATATATCAAATAGTTCACATTAGACTAAAAATATCTAATGATAAACGTATATTCTACCGTATAGGAGGGAAAACGTCGCGCCCTTCCGATTTCAGCTTGTTTACATTATTATAGTTATTATATCTTTGTTTGACCTTTTTGGTTTTGTAGGGATCGGGCCAGTGAAGCTATAGATATGTGTTTGCTCATCATCAACTTAAGCATACATAACTACTATTTTTATGATGTTATTATTATGAGTTATAGATTAGGCCTTTTTGATGATTTAAATTAGAATCATGTCAAAAACATCATTTTATTTACTTTTTAAGAATGAATTATACTTCTTTCATACATATATTTAAAATTGTAAATATATACATAATTTTTATCTTATAACTTACAAGGCATGCATTTTAAAAATTTAGGTGTTAGAAATGTAAATATATAAGAATTATGTGGTAGTATGGAAATTTTTTTGAATTATTTTTATCATATTTTTCATATAATATAATTTTTAATAATTTTTAATAAATGGTTTTTGGACAAAAATCAAAATAGCACCACGCTCCCAATTACATTGTTGCTGCCTCTTCTGCAAAAAGTCGCCATCTACTACGTACTGAATTGCTGTGTAGCCATCTGTGCTACATTTTGCGGGGCCCACATGGTTTCCACTACACAGCATTGGATGCCAGAGTGGACCCAACGAAACCCAACCAATGAAATTGTCGGCTCATACTTAGCTACACGTAGCTTCGTGGAGTCTATCATTCATGGCGTCCGCAGTCCGGCCATGGACGGGTAGGTGATCGAATGCCTTTTCTCTCTCCTCTACGCCTCCATCTACCAACATCTCTCTCTCTCTCTATATATTGGCTTCTATAACCCAAATCATACAGATTGAGCTTTGGGATTCGATTTACTCCTTTAACCTCGATCAGATCTCGATTCATCAGAGGCCGGAGATGGCGAGGAAGAAGATTCGAGAGTACGACTCCAAGCGCCTCCTAAAAGAGCACCTCAAGCAACTCGCCGGAATCGAGCTTCAGATCTCCTCAGCCCAGGTACCATTTCTCTATCTCGTGATCTGTTCTGGATTTAATCACTTTCGTCATGTTGGTGGTGGTTGAAAGATGTAACCCTATCTGTCTTGATGGAAAGGTGACTGAGGCTACCGATTTCACGGAGCTAACGGACAGGGAGCCATGGCTCTCTTCCAATCGGCTGGTGGTGAAACCCGATATGCAGAGCGGCCTGGTCGCGCTTAACTTGGATCTTGCACAGGTGGCTCAGTTTGTTAAGGGACGCTTGGGAACCGAGGTATTTTTTCACCTGATTTGAGTTCTCTTATGTTCATCGTGCGGAATTCTGTGTTGAAGAGATGAATTCTATTTTTTCTTTTCTGATTAGGTTGAGATGGGTGGATGCAAAGCTCCTATTACCACCTTCATTGTTGAGCCCTTTGTGCCCCATGAACAAGAGTATTACTTCTCCATCGTCTCAGAGAGGCTTGGTTGCACTCTCAGCTTCTCTGAGTGTGGCGGTATTGAAATTGAAGAGAATTGGGAGAAGGTGATTGTGAAAGAATGGTTGATAATGATTAATTCTCTTTTCGTTATTTGTTTTCTTTCATTGAAGTAATGGAATCGATATGGATGTTGGTCTTGCAGGTTAAGACGGTCTTCCTCCCTACAGAGAAATCCATGACTTATGAAGTCTGTGCTCCATTGATTGCTACTCTTCCTCTGGAGGTGAGATTGTAGCCTGTTTTCTTTGTTTCAGTTAGTCTTTCATAGTGTTTGTTCAATTAAAAGTCATCAGCTGGTTAAAAATTTTCTTTTTCTCAGATTAGAGGCAAAATTGGGAACTTTATAAAAGGAGTCTTTGATGTCTTCCAAGGTATGTTTTTTATGTGAAAACAATTGTTCTCTTCTATAACTGGAGACCTCGTGCTACTTTCCTGTCTAGTTTGATGTAAAAGCAGAAAATTCCAAGAAACTAATGAGGCATTTACACACATTGCACTTAATTCATATATATTTACCTATCTAACACCTAAACTCTTACTTTTTTTATATTTACACCACCCAAATATTTCATATCACTTCAAAATACCACCATTTTAACTTTTTAAAAGTGAAATACACTTTTTCATGCATAGGTAAGGTGACTTATAGGTAAAAATTGATGCTTAGGTGCTAGATATGTAAATATATAAGAATTGAGTGTTATGGATATAAAAATTCCTAATCCATTTGCAGATGTTGCGTAAATTTTATTAATGCTAACATTCTGGTGATTCATAATTTGCATGTTTTAGTCAATAAATTCTTGCTTGCATATCCTTGATAGATCATTATGGAAGATTATTGATTTTTCGTTGTTTGAATGAGTGCTATTGGAAAATTTGTTATTGGGAAAATGTACATACATACCACGCAAGTCATAGGTATTTATATATCTAATACACAAAGTTTGATATTTATGCCTATAACATCTTGATATCTAACACGCAAGATGTATTTCCCTTTTAAAATGGTAGCGATGGTGGTCTTCTGATGTGATTTTAAAATTTTAAGTGCTGTATCTATGTAAAAGATGAATATTTAGATGATAGATTTGTAAAACATAAAAACTGTGGTATGGATGTAAATGCCCCTTGTTCTTATTGTAACTTGAGATTAATTTGGAGAACTTATGCAGATCTGGATTTCAGTTTTCTTGAGATGAATCCGTTTACGTTGGTTAATGGGGAGCCTTATCCATTGGATATGCGAGGAGAGTTGGATGACACGGCCGCTTTTAAGAACTTTAAGAAGTAAATTCTCAACTTACATGTTTTTGAAGCCGATACTGGCTATCTATTGTAATTTGTGAGAATGATAACATTTATTTATAATTTGTAGGTGGGGGGACATTGAATTTCCGCTTCCTTTCGGCAGGGTTCTGAGCCCGACGGAAAGCTTTATCCACTCCTTGGACGAAAAGGTGGGAAAATGTTTCGCGAGCAAATAAGCATGTTTATTCAAACTACTTTGCCCATACATATTCAATTTTTCGACTCATCGCTTATGAACAAACATTTTGAAATATCCGATGTTTAAAGGAAGCTAACCATAACTTCATGAATGTTTTTACTTAAATGCTGAAAATGTTGTCTAAATGGCATATTGTATAAATTACAGAAGTAGTTGCATTGTACATAGCTTTTAAGGATATAAACTAAGATTAATGTCTAGCTGCTAACTTAGGGCCTGTTTGAGATCATTTTTTTTATTTTCTATTTTTTATTTTAATTTTGTTGTGTTTATGTTTTTTTTTTCCTTAAACACAACATGTTTGACATGTGTTTATTATATCTTTTTCTCTTGCTAGTTTGGCAACATAATTGTAATATTTCAGATCTGCAATATAATCCTTTCTTATGCATTTACATATATGTTGCCTAAATCTTAATTTTTACATATGTATCACCTTACCTATGCATGGAGAGGTGTATTTCTCAGTTTTAAAAGTTAAAGTAGTGGTTCTTTTGGTCTGATATGAACTATTTGGATAGCATGAATATTAAAATCATAAGTTTTGGGCCAGATATGTCAATACATCGGAATTGTGTGGTATGTATATAAATGCCCCCTATATTTGATTAAATGCTTAGAGTGAGTTGCTAATTCACCTCCTCTTTTCAGACCAGTGCTTCGCTTAAGTTCACGGTCTTAAATCCGAAAGGGCGGATATGGACAATGGTGGCTGGTGGCGGTGCCAGTGTCATATATGCTGACACAGTAAGCTTATTCTATTTTTTTTATTTTCTTAAAAAATAGAATTTCTTTTGTATTTTTGATAATTTGATGCTTAATAAGCATCATACTAACCGAATAATGCGCTTTTATTTCTTAGGTTGGTGACTTGGGCTATGCATCAGAGCTCGGAAATTATGCCGAGTATAGTGGCGCTCCGAAAGAGGATGAAGTTCTGCAGTATGCCAGAGTTGTTCTTGATGTAAGAAACCTTGAACCAGACAGTATCTATAGAAAAAAAAGTGGCTAGGAAAGCTTAGGGAGCATCACTTTTTGCCTTTTGTTTTCTATTTTTTTAATTTTCTATTATTTTTTTTATAATTTTATTTGAAATAAAATAAGTTTAGTATGTTATGACATATTTAGTTGGTTTTAAAAAATTCAAAATAACTTTTAGATGTTTTAAATACTTTTTTTTTAAAGCTAATTAATTTTTTAAAATGAAAAATGAAAACATGCAAAAAGTATGCTATAAAACCTGCTTTTAAAATAAAAGAAAAAATAAAATAAAATAATAGAAAACAAAAAAGATCCCAAAGAAGCTGTTAGGTTTTCATTTTTTTAATGACTATATGTATGCGAAATTAGACAATAAGAAAAAGGAAATAAATAATTATAATAGCAAACACCAAATATCATCCGTTGTCATCTGCCATTTGATCATTCAGGAATTGTCGACCGATGCCAAGAGATCATTCTGTGGGCACTTTCTTTCATTTTTTTTATATGAATTCATGGGAGGAGTTTCTCCTTATAAGCTACGAATGTGTAGCCTTTAATTTTGTTTAATCTGTTGCTTCTGCTGGCCCTGATGGCCTCTCAACGGTTTCTTTGGCTCTCCATATATTAACTATAAGCCAACGAAATCTTTCTATCATTATAAAACCGAGCCTTCACCGTTTTGTTGCAGTGTGCTACAGCGGATCCCGATGGCCGCAAGAGAGCTCTTCTTATCGGTGGTGGCATAGCGAACTTCACTGATGTTGCGGCTACTTTCAATGGAATTATAAGAGCCTTGAGGGAAAAGGTCGAGTTAAAATCAAAGGGGCATTTACATACATAGCATACAATTCTTTATGTATTTACATATCTCACACCCAAATTTTTTTATTTACACACAACACTCAAATCTTTCATATCATATCAAAAGCAACACTATTATCACTTTTTAAAAATGAAATTGGTCTTTTTATGCATAGATTTAAAGCACCAAAAGTGCTATGTTTTTAAATATGATACATAAATACATAAGAGTTGTGTGCTAGGTATGTAAATTTCACAAAATCAAGACATATTTGTTGGCTTGTTTCTCTTCCATAACTACTGAAATGTGTTCTTCATCCTGCAGGAATCAAAATTGAAGGCAGCAAGAATGCACATTTATGTTCGAAGAGGCGGTCCGAATTATCAGACTGGTCTGGCAAAGATGCGAGCTCTTGGAGATGAACTTGGTGTTCCTTTTGAGGTAAAAAATCTCTCTTTTTTTTCTCCTATTGTTTTTATTTATTAGATTTTCTTCAGCCTCAAATGAATTTATCAAAGCTTTATAAGTGGGTTGGCAGAGAACTACTTTCAGATGCCATATTAGGATTGAGCATTAAAAAAAGGAAGACTTGCATACGTACCACTCAATTCTTAAGCATTAACATATCTAACATCTAAACTTTACTTTTTACATATATGCCCCCTTATGCATAAAAAGGTGTATTTTACTTTTTAAAAATTAAAATAGTGATATTTTTTATATGATATGAAACATTTAGTGGTGTAAATGCAAAATGCAAAATTTAGTTTTAGATATGTAAATGCATAGTGATTTTCATATAACACACAATTCTTACGTATTCATATATGTAACACCTAAACTTCAATATTTCTATGCATGATATTCAGGTATTTAACGTCATTTAAAAAATATCACTGTTACTAAGTTTTTAAACGTGAAGTGCAACTTTTCATTAATAGATTTTGATTGATTATGAGACTAACTGTTAGATATTGAAATACATAAGAATTGTATGGTACTAAAGGATTGAAGCCTTTGACCTCACATATTTTTTCTCTTTTATTCAAATTTTGAAATAGTTGAGATTTAAAGAAGTCAATAGCCATTGCTATTGTAAAAAATAACATGTTTTTTTTTTCTTTTAGTTTTTTTCAATTTCAATCATTGGAAATTTTGGATGAAGAATGAAAGATCTGTAAACCTAAAGGTTCCTATACTTCTAAACCTGCTCTAATTTGTGTGTGTGTGTGTGTGTAGGAAATTTACATGCATATCACAAGATTCTTATGTATTTACTGAACTAACACCTAAAGTTTAATATTTACAATACTAACAACTTGGTTTCATAAACTTCTGCATGAAATTGTGTGTTTCGCTTAAAAAAAAAAGTTAATAATAGTGGTATTTTGGTAATTTAATGCTAAATATTTGAGTGTTAGACATCCAAAATATGAAAATTTAGGTTTTAGATATGTAAAAAGATGAGAATTGCCCCATAAAACTAATTAATCAAATCGAGAAAGAATTAAGCATCATCTCCAAGTTGTTTTCCTGCAACTTCCACACAGCAGTGAAAGAATTTTTGTCAGATTTATGGATTTTAATTTAATAATTTTTGTTTTAGGTTTATGGCCCTGAGGCAACAATGACAGGAATCTGCAAGAGAGCCATCGACTGTGTCATGTCTGCTGCTTGATCCACCTTTATTAATTTCTTCTTCTTATTATTTTTTTCATTCTTCTCTGAGTTCTCTTTAATATGGCAGTGAGAATAATGAAATTATTTCAACTCTTCAATCTTAAATGATTTTATTGTGTTATGAGGTTTCTTTATGTATGCAACTGAGTGAAATTGTTTACTATTTGATTTTATTTTATGAGCTCTTCTTATTCGGTGCTCGGCTCAATTCTTGATTAACATTCATGATCATTTGATTGGTTAGTCAAATGAACTTTGTACTCTTTCATGAGTTCTGATTACTAAATGAACAAATTTGACCAGCTTGTTGTTTGGTTCATTTATGTTCATTAACAATATCATTAAAGCTCATGAACAAGCTTGATTAGAGCTCAATTACTGTTTCATTATAGCTTATTTATGAACATTATTGTTTAAATGCTTATTTTTAAGTTTAACGAGTATTGCTTGATACATCTTATTTATTTGCTCCAATGATTCGTTAGTATAAAGCTTGAGTGGGCCTGATCAAAATTTAGTTATGATTTGATTATGATTCATTTATTTTATTAAATGAGTTGCTCGTTAATAAGCTCGATAATCCCTTTATGAACCAAACTCTAATAGAGCTCGAGCTGAGTTCAAATTGAGCTTGAGATGAACTCGAATAGTGTTTTTCGAAATAAGCTCTAATCAAGCTTGAACTGTCACTAAATCAACTTTGTTTGACTTTGTTTGTTTGAAGTCTTACTTTGGTCATTTGTTTCCTTCTTTTGTACTATACCCATCTTACTTGCATTTTCTTATGCTCCTCTTCCACCACGTCGCTCACCACACTGACATCCTATAAATTGGTAGATAATGTGGCAATGATTATTAACAACTTAGTCTCTCAAAGTTTTTTAAAAATATTTAACCTCACTTCTCTTTGTTAGAACCATTTATGATATGTATAAACACCTTAAATTTTAATCTATATCTCGTTATGGCTAGGTCATCTGATGTTTGACAGGTTTTATTAATATGCCACTAGGAAGTAGTTTTCTGCTAACCCTAAATTAAGTTACATAAACTAGTTTTTTTGTTTGATGCTCTTCATTATTGACATTTTTCAGAATTCTCTTCCCAAACAACCACTAATCAGATAAGACAAAGCGAAGAAAATTAAGGCGAAATTGGGCAAATATAAAGAGGAAATAAAAAGAATAGGAATGGCATAGTGAGCTAACCTTAGTGACTTATAAGACATGGAAGAAAGTAAAAGATCCAGTTCAGTCAAGATTCAAACTAGTTAAAAAAGAACCTCAAAGAGTAAAAATCAAAGGTATGCGCTTATAAATCCTAATATTGAGAGGTAATCTTGATTTCTAATGGAGTCATCAGATTTTATTCCCTCCATTTTTTGTTTTTGAACGAAATGCTCTTCATGCTTGCCCCTTTCGTAATTCTCTTCCCGAACAGCTTCTGCTCAAAAGAGACAGAGCGAGGAGAGGTAAGGCAAAATTGGGCAAATATAAAGAGGAAAATTAAAAAGATAATTACAAAGATATCTTATAAGACAATCCTCGTAATATAAAACCAGAGAAGTGTGGTCCAAAGTGAATCAAACCAACTCAACCCATGTAAATATACAAGATAAGTCTTATTAAAAGCCTAGAAGATAAAATCATTTTTTTTTTGAGCTCCAAGAGATCTTCCATGTTGACGAATCCTTGTGGTATATTACATTTTAGAAGATACTCATGCAAAATCTTGATAAGAGAAGTTTTGTTTGCTTGTTATGACTCTATAGAAATGGGAATCCAAGGCAATTTTCACTATCTAAGTCGGAGAAACCTCCTGCTGTCTTGATAGAGCTCGACTACATGGCAGAGGGTGGAACACCGTAGCCGACAAGCAGTTTGCCCTTAAACAAAGAGGATTTACAAGATGATTACAAGTGGCTCAACAACGGATTACAAAAAGAGTCTAAAGGGGGATAGGTCAGGACAAACTCCAACATAGGTAGAAGTAACTCAGTTACGATTCCATGGACATGTCATTCCAAACTATCAAGACTCTAGGTCTACTTGGTTGTGAAGATAGTCGACCCAATATGATTATAAACTACTGTCAACAACTAATATATTACATCATCCAAGGTGGCCCAATAACCCTAAAGTTAGAGAAAGGCAACAAACATCTAAGGTTTTAAGACTCCAATCGAACTGAAAAGGTAGAATTTGACTTGTACCCGTCAAGAGTATGACAAAGAAGCCTAAGTAGTGCAATGATAACCTCACTTCTCTTTGTTTATAACCATTTGGGATATGCATTAACACCATAAATTTAAACTTATATAACATTATGATTAGGTCATCTAATGTTTGGTCAGTTTTATTAATATGCCATTAGGAAGTAGTTCTCTGCTAATCCTAAATCAAGTTATATAAACTAATTTTTTTGTTTGCGCCCCTTCTTGTTTTGAAGGAAATGAAATGCTTTTCATACTCACCAATGTCATAATTCTCTTTCCAAACAACCTTTGCTCAGAGGAGACAACGTTCAGAGAGCTAAAGCAAAATTAGGCAAATATAAAGTAAAAAACAAAAAAGATAGAAATAACATCAGTCAACTAACCATAGTGATTACTAAACCATGGAATAAAGCAAAAGATCAAATTCAATCAATATTATAAATTGAAAAAGAAACACAAAGAGTTAAGGGTCAAAGATAAGTGGTTATAAATCATAATATCGAGAGGAAATCTTTATCCCTAGTGGAGTCATCAGATTTTGTTCGTGCCTTTTTTTTTGTTTTGAACAAAATGCTCTTCATACGTGCCCTTTCAAATTCCCTTTCCAAATAGCTTCTGCTCAAAAGAGAGAGCGAGGAAAGGTAAGGTGAAATAAGAAATATATAAAAAAGAAAAAGAAAAAGACAAACACGAAGATATCTTATAAGACATTCCTTGTAATATGAACCAGAGAGTCGTCCAAAGCGGTCAAATCATACTCAACCCAAGTAAATATATGAGAAAAGTTTTAAAAAAGACCTTCACATTTACCTAGAAGATAAAATCAAATTTATTTTGTTTTGAGTTCAAAGAAAATTCCCATGACGATGAATCATTGTGGTCAATTACATTCTAGGATACACCAAAAAAACTCTCGATATGAGAAGTTATGCTTGCTTGTTATGCTCTATAGAAAAGTGATGTCAAAGCAATTTTTGTGGTCTCAGTAGGAGAAACCTCTTATCGCTCTGATAGTGAAGTAGAGGGCGGACCACCGTAACCCGACAGGTAGGTTTGCTATTAACACAGAGGGATTATGAGACGACTACAAGTGACTCAACAAAGAAGTGCAGAAAGGGCCCAATGGGGATGATCAACGATAAGTCAGGAATAACCCCTAGATAGGTAGAAATTCAACATCCAAAACTATCAAGACCGAAGTCTACTTGGTTGTGAGATAGTAGTCCCAACCCGACCAGAAACCAGTTATAACAACCAATGTGTTACATCATCTAAGGTGACCCAATAGCCCTAAAGTCATAGGAATGAAACATTCAAAAATTTTAAGGCTCTAACCAGATTGTAAAGGTAGAATATGACTTATACCGATCAAGAGTGTGACGAAGAAACCTAAGTAGTGAAAAGAATAAGGAACGACCCAACTACAAAGTTGAATTGCCCCATAAAAGGGCTCATGATCCCATTTGGACTGGGACTACCTCTAACATTCTAAACATGCTGGACAAACCTTCTAAGTGTATATAACATATGCTTGACTGGTCAAGTTGAGAAAGCACAAAAACTTTTTATCGTGGTATGCAATTTAAATGCAATGTTATCTAAAGCAATCCTAAGCATGGAGACCCTATTAAATATTTAGGGGATATAGTCACGATATTATGATAGTTTTAAATTCGACTCTAAAGCCAGGCATTACAATAAATAGCAGGAAATAAAATTACAAATTTTAAAATCATGTAAAATTTTAATCTAAGATTTTATTGGAGTAAGATTTTTAAGTTGAAAATTTTTAAAAGGTAAATAATTCAATTATTGATATGATATTAAAATTTTTTGGTTGTTTAGATGTCAAAATCAAAATTTAGATGTTAGATATATAAATATCGTAATAATTGGGTATCTAATTAAATGCTGACATAAAAAAAAAAAAAACAAGAAAGAAATTTACATATATATCACACAGCACTTACGTATTTACATATTTAACAACCAAAATTTGATATTTTCATTATATCTCCTTGGTGTCATAAATTTATGCATGACATGTGTATGTATAAGGAAAAAATGCTAGTGTGAATCTCAAAGGAAATTGACGACCAAGGACGAAAACCCAGACGATTGAAATTCCAAACCAAAGAGTGAATATCGGTAGATAACAGTCCACTGATCAACACGAAATGATCGACCGTCATACCTGATGACTGACAATTCTGGTGGCCGGCGGACCCATTGGGTAAGATGATGGATTGGATTGGATTTCCTGGTGGAAGTCATCCGATCGATCAATTGGATTTTCCGGTGGAAGTCATCCGATCGATCGTTGATTTGAACGGTCGATTCAGAATTTCGGGCGACCTACACATTTGATAGTTTCTTTGTATTATACTGTAATTCTCATTCAACAGAATTGAGTTACTCGGTCTGTTATCATATACGTTCCAAAAACTAGGAGGAAAACATTTCCCAGACGAATGGAATTCAGCCACCGAAACCTTTTTCTACTTCGATTGGACGAGTGAAGCAAATCACAAAATCCCGGATACAACTCGTTAGAGCTTTTCGCTCGACCTGTATAGAGTAAACTCTCAACAAATACTCAAATCGAAAGCTTATACTGGGCCCCCAGTGAACGACCGCTAGACCAAAATGAAGTCAGGCGGGAGGCCGTCATGGGCCCCCCGCTTTGTCGGGTAGGGAGCTTTCCTAGGGTTCTGGTTCCGTCTGGCCTGGAACCTTCGGGGATCCTGACCTAATATTCATTTGTTAATTAAAATACTACGGCCACATCTAGGTATACTATGGATATAATATATAATTATACATTCCCTCATTTCTATAAATAAAAATTCATTTTATGAATACATGTTACACAAATTTACTCTTCCGTACTTACATAGTGTGTTTTTGCTCTCATCCCTTCCCTGCCCTTCCCTGCCCTTCCCTTTAAATACATCCAATGGGCAGCTAGAAAAATTACTAAAATGCTGAATTTAGAAATAGCGCAATACATCCCTATTTGTGTAAAAAAAATCATAATAATAAAAAAAAGAGGGCAGTTTTAGGTGATTCAGGCTATTCAGCCGTGCCGTGGAAGTCATCTGCTAAAGATAAGGTCGGATCTCTCTCCACGGCGCTTGCAAATCTCTCCCTCCGCCGCCCCATCACCTCTTTCGATCCCACTGATCACTGAACTGAAAAACATCAATCCCCACCCTCGCCGTCCTCGCCGTCCTCGCCGCACATGAAACATGAATCCCTCCGCCTCCACCAACTCCTCCGCCATCGATAACTCCACCGAGCTCCGCCGTCCCCTCTTCCCCCCCATCCCTCACCTGTCCTCTCGCTTCCACCTCAAAACAACCTTCTTCTCTGAACTCAGCGGCTCCGTCGGCGATCTCGGTACCTACATACCCATCGTCCTCGCCCTCTCCCTCGTCAACGGCCTCGATCTCGGCACCACCCTCCTCTTCACCGCACTCTATAACGCCATCACCGGTCTCCTCTTCGGCATCCCCATGCCCGTTCAACCCATGAAATCCATCGCCGCCGTTGCCATCTCCCCTTCCTCCCACCTCTCCATTCCCCAAATCATGGCCGCCGGTCTCTGCACCGCTTCCACCCTCCTAATCCTCGGCGCCACCGGTCTCATGTCGCTTTTATACCGTTTCCTGCCTCTTCCCGTCGTTCGCGGAGTCCAGCTTTCACAAGGTCTTTCCTTTACCTTCTCCGCCGTCTCCTACATCAGCTACATCCAAGACCTTCCTTCCGGTAAAACCTCCGGCCCCCGCCCCATGCTCGGCTCCGACGGTCTCCTCCTCGCTCTCTCCGCCGTCGTTTTCATCCTCCTCTCCTCCAGCGCAGGCAATGAAAGGCGACGCCTTTTTCCCTCCGCGCTCATCGTCTTCCTCTTCGGCTTCATCCTCTGTTTCTTCCGCAACCCCTCTGTTCTCCGCCAGCTCAAGCTAGGCCCTTCCCCGATCCGCGTGATTAGAATCACGAGTGAAGATTGGAAAGTCGGATTCTTTCGCGGAGCGATCCCGCAGATCCCTCTCTCGATCCTGAACTCCGTGATCGCCGTCTGCAAGCTTTCCGGCGATCTGTTTCCGGACCAAGAGGTTTCTGCGGCGGCGGTTTCGGTCAGTGTGGGGTTGATGAACTGGGCCGGTTGCTGGTTCGGAGCGATGCCGGTTTGTCATGGTGCCGGCGGGCTGGCGGGGCAGTACCGGTTCGGAGGGCGGAGCGGGTTGTCTGTTATGTTTCTAGCGGCGGGGAAGATGGTGGCGGGATTGGTTTTTGGAAACTCGTTCGTCGTGATACTGAGAGAGTTTCCGGTGGGGTTATTGGGAGTATTGTTGGTGTTTGCTGGGGTGGAGTTGGCAATGTCGTCGAGGGATATGGGGAGCAAAAAGGAGTCTTTTGTTATGCTGGTGTGTGCGGCGGTTTCGATGAAGTTGGATGCGGGTGTTGGGTTTGTGTGCGGGTTGGTTATGGTTTTGGTGCTCTGGATCAGCGAGTTGGATTGGTTCGCTCTGTTGAGGAGGAGAAGCGGGGGAGGATCTGGAGATGATAAGCTTCAATCTGCTGATACGGAGGAGATCATTGGAATTTAGGGAGATTTTTTTTTTTATTGCTTATTTAGCATGGATTCAGTAATCAATTCATGGTTTTAAATCACTTTTAGGGGATGGTTGATTTCCTTAAAAAAAAGTATCACACTGATTTAATGTAATTGAAATATTATGGATTTGGGATATTTTCAAATTATTGATATGGTGTAAAGTAGATATAAAGATTTATAATGTTATGCTTAGTTTTAAGAGAATGCACAATGTAAAAAGATTGGCCATAGGAAGGGCAGTGATGGATGATTGTGATGTAATTAGAGGGCAATGACATATGGAGATGATGAATGATTGGTGATTGCACGCTTGCATTGGGTAATGGTGGGTCGTGGCGGTGGCCACAAGTGGCAATTAGCAGTAGTCGTTGGTGAAGGCGATGGTGGCAGCGGTGGTGATGGAGATGGCTAATAACCAACGAGTAGCTATCGGTGATGGTTGTGGCAATGGGCTGCAGATTGTGACAGAGGAGGCAATAGTGATGGCTAATCAACACGTGTAGTGATAGTGAGCGACCGAAGGCGAGTGGTCAACGATAGTGGCAAAAGGCGATGGGTAGTGAGCAACAATAGTGGGTTGTAGTAGTGTTGGGCGAAGGTGGGGTGAGGCGGCATCAACGACGATTGGTGGCAGGCGAATGGGCTGCGCTGCGCTTTTAGTGATGCCTGCAGAGGTGGCAGCAGTAGTAGTGACAGAAATGGGTGGTGGTGGATGACAAAGTGCAATTTGCAATATATTTTGAAATCCCTTAAAATACAAAGTGAACTCTAAATTATCAAAATTTTACAATACATTCACATTTCATCCAACCAAACATCATAATTTTAAAAATTAATGAATTTTGTTTACATTACAATAGAAATATAAGGAGTCAATAACCCCTAAATCAATTATCAAACATTTAAATTAAGTAGCTAAAAGTAGATAAATCATGTGCCTATCACGTAAAATATCCAAATGTTGAATCAAACATATCTTATATGCATTACACCTAAGGAATAGAGCATAAAGAAGGAGAGAGAAAGTGAGAAAGTACGTGCACAGTAATAATTTGGTTCTCTTAAAGATCACCACCAATTAACCCTTTACTATAGAAATGACCCCCTTATTTAAAAACAAGGAGTAGAAGTGATAAATTAAATGGTTGCCTCTATTTTGATGGGGATATTACAAGATATTTTGGCATATAGATAATATAAGAGTTCATGGTTCAACTATCCTATCATTCGTTCGATGAGAACCTATAATCCTTTGGTTGACAAGGTACATTCAGCCGACTCTGTCGAGTTGGGGCAATCAGTCGGCCCTGATGGTTCTTTGGCCATCCAAACTTTGCTCGGTCGTTCGGAATTCATTTGGTCAGCTTGACTCAGTTAATCAATCGTCTTGGGGTAGAGCTAAATTGTAAAGCAAATGGTGAATCACCGTAATTTGACAGGTAATCAATCCCTTTTGACAAGAGATCCATAGAAGGCTCGATGAATGTTTGTGATGGGGCCCTTAGGCCTTCTGAAGAGTCTTTGAGGCTCTTACGGGGTGTATTTTCCTGCTTCATACTTACATACGCTTAGGCCATATGTGACGCCACATTTTTAAGTGTCAACTATTTCATGTGACGTGCCTTAGATCCGTTGGATCTTTAGGATAAGGCTGGTGTGGAGACTCCATCAAAGTCATACGTAGCCAGAGACTTGACCCTACACTTAGATGATGATTAAAACACTTCGAGGTACATGTGCGTGCTAGGCTAGAATTAGGATGTTAGGTAGTCTTTTTTTGATGTCTCACTATTGTTCTTTGCTGGTTTGGTTGCCCTAGCCAGACATCATATTCCTTGTGTTTTTGTGTGTTTACTGAGTGTGAACTTGTATATTAGTATATTAAATCAATCTTCTGCAGGGAACTGTTGACCTCATTTTTGGTGAGGCCAGTCTTCTTCTCAGAGAGCCTAGGACCTAGTAGTAGGACTTTTCTCAGGCTCTCCTAGATGACTAGTATTGGGACCCCCAAATACAAAACAATGCACACCACATACATATTCATATACTCTCATAGTCAAAATTAAGATCAATTTACAAAGGTTCAAACAAAGGTTCAATCACAAAACAAAAAAAAAAAAAACCAAATTTGATGCTCTTTTTGACACGAACTTGCGACCCTTCGGAGCGAGTTGAGCGGCTCCCTGCCGAGAGCAATCAAGTTGACCTTGGTGGTTGTTTAGACGAAGAGTGGTCAGCATTTAACTTGTAGAATGACTCTCATTGAGTCGACAAATATTATTCGCCACATCACACACGAATTAATACTTTAATTTGGCTCGACAGTGGAAGAAGTTGTCCATACAACCCTGGATGATAAAATAAACCATATGAGCATGTCCGAAACTTTGATTTTACTTGAGAAAGACATCTATTTCACTAGGTTTTCGTGTTTGAGTGGGTAACCCAAAAATTGATGGGTTGAAATTATAAAACAAAATAGAAAAGGAAAAAAAGGAAAAATGGGGCTTTAAAAATCCATGTGATCCCCTCCCTCTCAGATTTCGCGAATCGTCGGTGCCCTAGATCCCGATAGCACCGCTTCGCCGCTCGGATCCCTCCCTTCGCACCCGGAGTTCGTCGTCGACCCTTCCTCGGGCAAACGAGTCCGTTGTTGATGTCCTCCTCTCTCCCGGTGCTCCTACGCAAGGGCTTTTAGGGAAGGAAACCCATACCGTTATCCCCGTCTCGGCCAATCGCACGCATGATTCGACTACTCTCGTCGGTGACGTCCCACTGACCTCCCTTGCCGCCGGCGAGTTTCTCCACTGAAACCCCCTCACCGATGCTTTCCTTTCTGAGTGAGAAAGTGGCCCAGTTTGACTCCTTTTTCTTGTCGTGAGCCACCCGAGTAGCCCTCTTTCGTTGGCTTCCTCTCCCGTCGGCAATGCCTTTTCGACCGGCGAAGTCTCTGACCATAAGAGTTCCTGCTGTCGCCTCCTTCAGAGTTCTCCGACATTCACTGACGATAGAGCAGCGTGGAAATGCGTGGATGTCTCTCCCCTTTCGAGGAGAGCTTCTTCCCTAACTTCATTCGGATGACTTGTAATCAACGTGACCGTGTAACCTCCTCAAACTCCTCAAACTTTTTGTCTTTTCCTTCCTAGCTAGCCCTAAGGTTTAGTGTCGTTATGCGTGTGGGTTCGATTGTCCATGCTGTGTACATGCATCAACCGACATTAGCCGACACGACTGCTTGTCTATGTGATGGATCGTTGGCCTTCATAGAGTACGCCTTTAGGTGAGGAGGTTTATGCGTGGCTTAATGCTTCGTAGTTTTGAGTGTTTCTTCTTGTTTTGAATCCTAACATTAATCCCTACAGGTCCCATTGCTTTGGTTTCTACAACTTTGTTTGGAGAAGTTGGGATATGGGGTTTTGCTAAGTGAGAAAAAACTTTGTAGTTAGCTCACTTTGCAAAGCCTCGTGGCATCGTGAAATTGGGAAAAACTTTGTAACTAGCTCATTTCATGATAGCGTGGAGAGCGCCCCCCTCAGAATCCCCAGGATGAAACTCCCTACATCCCTCACCACAATAGGAGAGGCTATGTTGCAAATTTAAGTGTCCAAACCATTAGGTTCCTATGTGAGGGCATTAGCTTGAGCACAGTCCGCTATCAAGCATATTTGTTTGCCTTGGATTGCACTGTATTATTGCTTGGAGCATGTTTGCATTTGCACATTGCCTTGACAAACCACCCCGGCTCGGTCGGCATCTCGCATTGCCTCGATCGACCGCCTCGGCCTGGTCGACATTTTGCTTTGCCTCAACCAGTTGCCCCAGATCGTTCAACATCTCACACAGCCTCGACCGGCTTCCCCTACTTGGTCGACATTTCACTTTACCTCCATCGGCTGCCCCGGTCTGATCAACATTTTACTTTACCTTGATTGGTTGCCCCGGCTCGTTCGACATTTCGCTTTGCCTCGATCGGTTGCCCCGACCCGGTCGACATTTCACTTTGCCTTGATCGGCTACCCCGACCCGATCGACATTTCTTTGCCTCGACCGATCGCACAACCTGTCGGAATCACTTTCACCTTCACCGGCCGCCTCGACCCGGTCAACATACCACTTTGATATGACCAGCCGTCCCGGTCCGGTCGATCGATCACCTGCATAGTGCATGTTGTGCATGTGTATGAATATGACTGTTGGCTTGCATGGTGTACTACGCCCTATATTTGCTTGTCATTTGCATGTGTGTTTAGTCGTTATTGAGGTAAGGTGTAATTCTCCCTAGTGGCGTCCTATGTCATAGACGACCGAGCACAACACCTCTATTATTATATGTGTTGCATGACATTTTACATGGTCATCATCGTCTGCTTGGGTAGCACTTTGAGTGTCCACTCACTCACTCATATTATTTTTATGATTCTCTCTAGTGAGGATCATCATATTTCAGGCCACTGCCTCTACTGTATGCCTAGTTTTCAGGCTCCTAACTCCACGGTACGCGAACCCTTCTAGGTCACTACCTCCATGACATACCACTTTTGTCATGTGATTGTTCGTACTTGCATTTGCTTGCAAGCATGGATAGTGAGCAGGCTCGATAGGTGAGTGAGCGACTTTATGTCGGTCGCGATACCTTAATGAGCATTGCTTATCGAGTTGATCCTGGTGAGCAATGTAGTTAAGTCATCAGGATTGACACGAGTATGACTTTGCTAAGGATCCAAGAGATCTAACTCGTGTTACCCTGCTTTTTATGGATATCAGGACTATTTTTGGTGTGGGGTTTGCCCGTAAGAAGCTGTCGATCATCGGAATTGAAATTCCGTTGCCCGCTTCGGAAGGACGTTTTTAAAAAAATTTAGTTTTGAAAAAGATGAAGTCAAACTGACCCCATAATTTTCATAGTTTAGATGAAAGAGCGCTTTACCTCAAATCCTGTATCTATCCCGAAGGATGAACTCAAGAGTTGAGGGTGAGGCTCGATCAAATAAACTAAAGAAATTTATGACATCCGTTTCGTCTGCGAAACCAATGTATTGGCTGACAAGTTCCCCTATTTAATATAAGGAATTAAATAGGGTTTATATTATGCTGGGTTCGGGAAAAGCTTCCTATAAGGGCAA